TAGTAACAGTTTCTCTGACTTTCAAGTTTGGTTCACAACAAATGGTGTGCAACATATTATTCCATTGTACTATGACTTTTATCTCGAATTGTCTTTCATATATAACTACGGAAAAGTGCTGAAAAGTATTGAATGTGAAGATATTAGAAAATAACATTTTTTCTAACATCGTAGAAAACTCATGAAAACAATTTATTTTTGACACTTTCACAAAAAACATAAAAAAAGTGAGTTAAAATGAGATGTTTACTGAACTGGCTGGATGTCGCCTTCTGAGGTTATGTAGAACGGCTGACCCGAGAAGTGGAACAGTGCTCTGAGAATTTGTATAATTCGTGGAATTGGACTCTCTCTGTTTGGAAGTTGTATCCATGGGCGCTTTGCAAAGAACTTGAGAAGAGCTTCTCTTTTGGCGTCCTTTATGCCGTCGAAAGGAGTGCCTTCTGGTACCTCAATTGGAATTCCAGTCGAAATCTCGAGAGTCAAGGCAGCCCTTCCCGTTATCCAACCGTTAACAAGCTTGCCTTTTACATTCTGCCTGAGGAAGTCTTTAACAAGCTCGTTAATTTCAATTAGGTAAATTGCCTCGTCGGTAGGTTCGACCTCGACCATTGCTACTGTCAGAAAAAGTACTGCTACTGTCAGAAAAAGTACTGCTACTGTCAGTAAAAGTACTGCTACTGTCAGTAAAAGTACTGCTACTGTCAGTAGAAGTACTGCTAGTAGCAGTAAAACTGCTGCTACTGTCAGTAAAAAGGAAAATTTGAGAGGGTTTTCGACGATAAAGTACTGCTACTGTCAGTAAAAGTACTGCTACTGTCAGTAAAAGTACTGCTACTGTCAGAAAAAGTACTGCTACTGTCAGTAAAAGTACTGCTAGTAGCAGTAAAACTGCTGCTACTGTCAGTAAAAAGGAAAATTTGAGAGGGTTTTCGACGATAAAGTACTGCTACTGTCAGTAAAAGTACTGCTACTGTCAGTAAAAGTACTGCTACTGTCAGAAAAAGTACTGCTACTGTCAGTAAAAGTATTGCTACTGTCAGTAAAAGTACTGCTAGTAGCAGAGATTTTTATCGTTGTGGTCCGACGGTTAAGCCACAAACGAATGTCCGACGTCCCACCAACCGAGTCCATTCCCAAACCAGAGGAACCTAAAGAACCACAACAGTCTCCTCAGCAACCTCAGTTCCAGCAAGTACCTCCGAATTACTACCAATTTCCACCTCAAGGTTACTACCCACCACAAGGCTTCCCGAACTACCCTCCTCAGCCTATGCCTTACTTCCCCAACCCTTGGATGTTCCAGCAAGCTCCACCCCAGCAATTCCAATCTCAGTCCAAGAGAGACCAAGACTTCGAAGAAGGTCTGAACCGCTTACGCAAAGAGTATGCTACAGCTCCAATTGAGAGAAAGTTGTTCCCGGACCAAAAAATATAATTTAGGTGAAGAGGTGAGATTTCACCTTTTTTTTCACCTGTTTTTTCACCCTCTTGAATTTTCATGAATTTTATATATTAATGTTTTCGTTAAGCCACTTTGTGCCGTCAGTCAGTCAGTCAGTCAGTTTAGGAAAGACTTTAGAAAGTTGTTGGAAAATAAGTCCTGGGAAGAGTATTATAAGGCATTTTGTGAAGAATATAGCAACAGTCTGAATTCCGGCGGTTGCTTTTTATACAAAATTCATGCAGGAAATTCTTGAGTTTTGGTTGAAAGAATACGGTGGAGCCAAAAGTGGCTCGACCTCAAAACAAGCATTTTATGAGCTTACAAAGGGTGTTATGAATGAATTCAAATGTATTTACATACATCCTGACCTCGTTCATTTTGTTGCTGAATTCAGCAAAAATAATGTTTAGGTGAAGAGGTGAGATTTCACCTCTTTTTTCACCTGTTTTTTCACCCTCTTGAATTTTCATGAATTTCCTTAAGATAGAAAAAATAAAGTTAGTTTTATTTTTATTTATTTTTTATTTTGTATGTAAGAACAGATATGTCAGTCGAAGCAAAAACGTTCACGAACAAATCTAATGGCGAAACATTCACAAAAGGCACTTATAACGGTATTGAAGTCTTACGTAGAGACAAGGATGGTTATATAAATGCAACAAATATGTGTCAGCAGTTTAGGAAAGACTTTAGAAAGTTGTTGGAAAATAAGTCCTGGGAAGAGTATTATAAGGCATTTTGTGAAGAATATAGCAACCGCCGGAATTCCGGCGGTTGGTTTTTATACAAAATTCATGCAGGAATTCCTGATGAAATCAGACAGGTTAGAGGAACGTATGTAGACCCAAGACTTATAAACTATATAGCAATGTGGGCTTCTCCAAAATATTGTATAGCAGTTGGAAAAATTATGGAGTCCATAGACAAGAAAGTTCATGAGAAATTAGATGAAGAAGAACTTGAAGATACAGTAGAGAATGCAAAACATTTGTTTGAAGAAGAAGTTAGAAAAATGCGCGAAAAACAATTAGAACATGAACGTGAGTTATGTTATGGTTATAGAGACTCTCCATACGAACTAGACCAATGGGAACAAGAAGATTTAAAGAGAGAATTTAGAGAATATGAACTCGCTAAAATTTCATTAGAAGCTGCAGAAAAGAAGTTAAAAGTTTGGGGTCGTTTTGTACAAAAATATTGTGAGTAAATGAACCATTTATTTTTATTGAATTCAGCAAAAATATAATTTAGGTGAAGAGGTGAGATTTCACCTCTTTTTTCACCTGTTTTTTCACCCTCTTGAATTTTCATGAATTTCCTTAAGATAGAAAAAATAAAGTTAGTTTTATTTTTATTTATTTTTTTATTTTGTATGTAAGAACAGAAATGTCAACAATCGGCACAACAACAATTCAAACAACAGCACCAAACTCGTTAGTCATGAATCCAACATCTATGTTAGTAGAAATGAAAAGCTTCATTCCTTCTTCATATACTTTTGAAACAGAAATACAAAGAATAAAGCAGGAACTTTTAACAAGTAATTTAGACTGTACCGCACAGGATGAAGAAAATGAAGAATATCTTTATGACATGCAGGACATAATTGACCATTTACCCAAATTGCCTGAAATCCAACAACAAAAACTAACTATTCCTGAATTCGACGAAATTGAAGTCAAAGCAACTGACTCAGTAGAAATAAAGAAGTTCATACGAATGGTAAATTATGAATTCCTTGGTTTTCATTGCAACCATAAAGTTATGGACAAAGATTGCGACATGTTATATAAGAACATCTCTGACATATATAAATCTGGGGAGTTTAAGACATACGACAACTTTGTTTCATTAGCTGCAAAATGTGTATGGCAGATAAGAGATAAAGATAGAAGAGGTAAGGTATGGAATGAACAGATAAAACCAACTGCTTCAGATTTAAAGAAAACCATTGACGCCTTGGTTGTTTTAGCAGGTAAGGTTTCAGAATATAACGCAAAAATGAACCCGCAATGTTCTAAATGTAAAGCAGCAATAAGAAAATATAACTACTCAGTCAAAGAGATAGAAAGAATGCGAAACGACTATGCAGATTTAAAGAAAGAAGCAGAGAAGCCGGTAGAAGATAAAATGAACATGTTAGAATTTCTGAACAAAAACTATCCAACAGCAGAAGATTTCCTTCTATCTGACGTCAAGAAGAAGTATAAAGAAGCTTTCGGCATTGTTAAAACATTCGATGTACTAAAAGAAGAAATTGAAGCTACGAAACTGTTTAGGATTTCAAATATACATCGTACAATTCATGTAAAACGCTTATAAAATAACTGGGGTGAAAAATTAGGTGAAAAAAGAGGTGAAATCTCAACTCTTCACCTAAAATATATTTTTATTGAATTCAGCAACAAAATTCTGAGTAAAATGGCATATAGCTTGTGTCAAACCGTTGAGTTTTCACAAAATTTAAAAAATAACGTTTACCATGTGAAACGCTTATAAAATAACTGGGGTAGAAAAGAGGTGAAAAAAGAGGTGAAAAAACAGGTGAAATCTCACCTCTTCACCTAAAATATATTTTTATTGAATTCAGCACAAAATTCATGAATTTCCTCATATGCTTGCTTCCCTCGGAAAACCGAGAGAAGAGATTCCGTACGAAAATCGCAAGAATTTGGCTCCTGGTTTGAAAGGATATTATGTACATAGACTTCTTGTAAATGCTGTTGCAATGTGGGCTTCACCTAAATTATATTTTTATTGAATTCAGCACAAAAATCATGAATTTCCTTAAGATAGAAAAAATAAAGTTAGTTTTTTATAAAATATTTTTTTATTTTGTATGTAAAGACAGATATGTCAAACATTGAGTTTGAAACAGTTAGAAAGATAGACAATGACACCAAAGTGGTTAGAATAGGTGATTTAAACGTAAGATACTCAAAGAAATACAACAAATATTCTTTGTCAGACATTATATCTCCATCTGGAAAGAAAACAAAGGACTGGGTTAGAATTGCTTCTACTCAGAAAATTTTGACAAGAAATCCTGAGCTTATAATATCGGTAAGATTCTATGGAACTACAGCATATCTCATCGACAAAAGTCTTATACCAATAGTTTTGTTATGGTTAGACCCAGTTGTTGGATATAACTTCATAACATATGGTTCATTCGATACGGAACGTTGCAGTGAAGGCTTACTTTACATCGTTCAGAAACCGAAGGACTTCAATACAAAGAGATATAAGATAGGAAGAACATATAATATAACTCAAAGATATGACAGTACAGTCAATAGAGTCAAGGTTGTGTTTGTTAATGATATGAGAGCTGCTGAAACAGAACTGCTTGAAGTTTTTGAGAAAATGTATGGTGCTCCCATAAAAGGTAAAGAAACGTTTGAAGTAGATGAGATAGATAAAGCTATAAAATTATTTGACGAAGTTGCTGAAAAATACATGTAAAGCGTTTATTTTTGGTCTTTTGTGAAAGTCAGAAAATAAAGTTAGTTTTATTTTTATTTATTTTTTTATTTTGTATGTAAAGACAGATATGTCAACAATAGAGAACACAACAACAGTTATAGTCCATGAAGCTATAAATGAAGAATATGAGTGGGTTCAGTTTAACAAACAACTCCGTCTCATTCGTTCGGTCAAAGACGATATGTACCAAATGCAAAGTATTTTGACAGCATGTTTTGCACCCGACAATAAGAAACCACAAGACTGGTTTAGGAACCAAAGCCCACAAGAACTTTTGAGTGAAGAACAGCGAGTAGGTAAAAAACCTCAGTCGCCAAAACTCTATGAAAATCGTGAAAAATTGCCAAACGGTTTGAGAGGACATTATGTACATAGACTTCTTGTAAATGCTGTTGCAATGTGGGCTTCAGCTCGTTATGCTTGGTATATTTACAGACTTCTTGACGAAATTCATAGACAAGAACGTGAAGAGATGGAAAACAAGCTTGAAGCAAAAGACAAAAGCATTCAGAAAAGAATACCACGTTCGGTACCAAAAGGAAAGGAAAAGAACTATAAGTATATGATTTATACTGAAGAGATGGAAAATGAAGAAGATAAAGATATGGTTATGTTGCATTTAGTCAGAAGAAACAACAAAAGCTTTTACGACCTTGCTAAGATTTACAAATCTGACAGAAATTGGTTCTATCGCGAAAACTTACCGATTTCAATGACACCGAATGAAGATGTGAAACAAATAGTTCAAGATACGTTACCTCAAACACACTATGATATGAAAGGTTGTACAATACTTACCTTCAAAGAAGACTTACCGCTACTGAAAGAAAAAATAACAGAGTATTTTGACAACTTCAAACAAGTAGGGTAGATGAACCATTTATTTTTATTGACTTTTTACAATTTGAACTTTGTTTGCGTAGATATGAATTCTGAAAGAAGTATGAGGGTCTTGTATGACTTTGTACTTCTCCCATAGTTCATGTCTGTCAAACTTACCTGCCATGGACTCTTTCATAAGTTCCATGAAATCGTCTTCGGACAATCCGGGGAAAAGTACAATGTCAGTAAGTATTCTCTTTACATCCTTACTTAAACTCTTTGCTGTCTGTACACAAATGACAACTGAGATGTTAAAGTGTCTGAGCTTCTTAAGAATTCGACACATGTCTTGTTCTCTGTTCTTTAACAAAAGATGAGAAGCAAAGTCATCTAAGATAAGAAGACATCTATGAGGGTATGTCTTCCAATCGTAAGATTGCAATTTCTTCGAAATGTATTCTATCTCTTTCTGTTTGTTTCTGAAGTGTTTCTTCTCTAATATTCTCTGCATTTCCTCATTTGGGTCTTTAAACTTAGAATTTATATACTCATTTATAGCATTGTACTTCAAAACTCTTCTTTGGTACTTCTTTATCCAATCCAACAACTCAGAGTCTTTTATACATACTAACTTAGACTTTTTTATAATATCTTTGAACGAATTGACGGTTTGGTCAAATTGACCAGAAGTACTACAAATGACTACTAACTCATAGAATGGGTTCTTCTCATCTAGTTCTTGTTGTTGTGCAGCCATTTTAAGATAAGTGAAAGTCTTACCCGACCCAGGTGGTGCGATTAGACCTGTTATACCATTCTGAGCAAATAAGAACTTTTCATGTATAGGCTTTATCTGAGCATTTTCTAACTTCCTCTTGTTCTTCTTCAAAACATTCTCAAATTTTTTGTCAATGTCAGCAAACTTTTTTTCTAACATATTTTTAGAAAAATTAAAATTTTTATCTTTTAGAAAATGTCTAGCGATTTCGCTATCTATATTCGAGACAAACTTTTTGACAGCAAAACATCCGTCGACCATAAAATCTTACATAGTGTAAACAAGAAAGGTGAATTTGTTCTAAAGTTCTGTTTCTGGGAATATGACAAGAACCATAAAACATTACAAAGAGCAGTCTTAAAATTTGTCAATGACAGACTTGTTGACAGAGATGACGCCGATTGGAAAGATGAAGTCCAACAAAAGTTCTTAGAATGCAAAGAAGACACATGCGCTGTTCTTGAAGATGAAATAGAAAACAGAATAGATGAGCTATTAAAGGACAAAGAACTTTTACATAAATATAGTTGCGCCAAATTTGACATAACTCCACCAGAAAAGAAGAAGAGAGAAAAGAAAAAAAGAAAGTAGAAAAGAGAAGAAAGAACCTGAACCAGTTCCAGAGAAAAAGAAATTTGACATGTAAAAATAAAATTTTATTTTTAGAACATTTCTGGGTCAATGTCAATGTTCTCTTCCTCTTTAGGAGTAAACACTGGCTTAGACTCTAAAATCTTTTTACCCAACTTACCTTGAACTTCAACTATCTTAGACTCATAATATTCATAGTCGTCTGCTTTCTTTGGTTCATAAGGTATAACAAGTTTGTATGCTTTACCTTCTTCGAGTTTTGAGAACTTTCTGTCAAAATTTTCTTTGACTGTTAACAAACCTTCTATGTCTAAGTCTTCAAAAGTTGCACCACTTTTTCTAACAACAGCAAACTTAACTGGTGCAATGTTCCAAATTTTGTCAAATGTAGACTTTTCAAAATTGTAGAAGTAAACATTCAAATATGCGAATGGAGCTAACTTATCTTTGACTTCTGTCATGTACTTATTTACTGAGATGAATTATAATGAGAGCAGTTTCATTTTTAGCACTTGGATGTTGTAAGATGTTTGCAAACCAACATAAGATATACTCATAGACTCTTTCGTTTCCATTGCATATAATTTCTTTGACATGGTCTAACCAAGCTTCTATAATATTTTCTTTCCATTCTACTTGTTCATATTTATATCCAGTGAAGATAGAATAGAAGTTTGGAGAAGGTGTATAGAACTTTATACCTCGAACTGAAAAATCTTCTAACT